TTTGCAAACGGAGGGAGTATATAATATTTCAAATCTATGCTTCACAATGAATCTCTTGTTATTAAATTCATATCATAACATATACTACCTCCGTCCCAAAAAGATTTACACGTTTTGACTAAAGTTGAAATTAAGGGAGAGATAATTTTTTGTTGACTTTCCAAAAATATCCTTGATGTGATGAGTAAAAGTAGGATGTGATGTGTAGATTATTAGAAAAAAAGTATGATGTGATAGGTAGGGTTTGAAAAGGTAAGGGGTAAAAGAGGTTTTTTAATAGAAATGGGTAGGAGATTGTGGGACGCAATTTTTTTGAAAGGTGTAAATCTTTTTGGGACGAAGGGAGTACTCGTCTAATGGTCAAAGTTTGTACACACTTACCTAAGAAAAGCCATATGATGAGAAAATAATTTCTGAAAAGCGGTAGCATTACTTTTAGCCTTTTAATAATTTTTTAATTATTTGGGTTATTTTTAAAATGGTACTTCCTCCGTCCCAAAAAATGTTCTCATTTTGACTTTTAAGAAAATTAATAGAAGGATATTTTTGTGTTTTCTTTCAAAAAACATACTTGATGTGGTTGGTAGATTATTAGTAAAAAGTTATGATATGATAGGTAAGTTAAGAGTTAATAGGGGTAAAAGTGGTTTTTAATAGAAAAAGGAAAAGAGCTTTTGGGACAGAGGGAGTATGAGTTTGTTTTGTTCATTCGTTAGAAAATATTTTTGAAGAGGAATCCAAGAGAAAATGGTTTTCAAGGGAAATGATTTTCCCACCACATTTTCTATTATATTGTTTGCTAAAAGGGGAATTATTTTCCCAAAGAAAACTTTTAATTGTTTATATTTCAAAATTGATATTTACGATTACATTTTAAAGATAATTTTGAATTGTTTTAGCAATATGGGGCAGACGTCGTAGGGTACATGGGGGTGTTGGCGCGTGGTAGAGGGGGAGAGGGATAAAGGCGGATGGCACCAATTAGCAAGTGGAGTGGGGTGGGTTTAGATGACGGGGTAGCATGTAGGGTAGGAGGGGGCAAGGGGTCAGGGCAGTCGGGGTTAACGGGGGTGGTAAGGTAGGAGGGGGCGAGGGTAAGGGTGGCAGGTGGTTGGGGTTTGGGATGAGGTAGGCACGCACAACGTGGGAGTGCAATCCCATCACCCCAAGATGTTACGGTATCGTAGGGCTTGATGGGGTTTGACCATATAGTTAAATAATGATTATTTTTTATTTCCATGTTCCATTTCTTCATAATTCTTTCCTTTGTCTTGTTGGCATGTTCCTGTGCACACTTGGTCAAGTGATTGGTCGAGTTCACTGCAATCTCATGTTTTTATTGTCTTGTTTTTCTTCTTGGATGTCAAAAACTTTTTCATTTATGTTATGATTTCCTCCAATTTTTCTTTGTACGTACTCACTACTTGCCCAAGTGATTGGATATTTTTCTCATTGCTGCGGCTGGGTACATATAGTCATGATGAGGAATAACCTGAACCAACATCAAGTGGTGAAGCGTCTCATTTCAACATGTGATGCCAACTTTTGGAATGCTTCATTATTGATTTTAGTGTTGTTGATGTTGTTATTGTTTTAGTCTTGTTGATGTTCTTATGTTATTGTTTGTGATGTTGTTCATACCTAGTATGGCTGACATTGTTGATATTCTTGTTATTGGTTTTAGTCTTGTTGATGTTGTTACTATACTATTCGTGATGTTGTTAGTACCTACTATGGGTGACATTGTTGATGTTGTTATTGCTATTATTCTTGTTTGTGTTGTTGTTTTTTATCTTGTTATTATTGTTGCTTTGATGTTGTTATTAGATGGGTGATGTTGTTGTGGTGTATTTGTAGGCTCGGTTTGTTACTCTTCGTGATGAGGCAAGGAAGAACGGGCTCAATGTCAGCGATCAACAAATATGGTACTCGCTAGTCCAGGGCCATAACACAAAGAATTGGGTGCCTGGAGTCGGTGACTATGAGCGTCAAATGAGAAAGTTGAAGCCGTCATCCACCCATCGTTGCTCGATCTTGCTCTTCCGCTATTAGCAAGACTGAAATTGAGGCCCTAAAAGAGCAAAACCAATGCCTTCAGGAACAGGTTGATGCCCTCACCTCCAAATTCACCACCATATATTAAAAATTTGTTTCTAGTTATTTTACAATGTGTGTTTTTCGTAAACCCCTCCCAATCAATGGTATGTTACTGATAGTTGAGAAAAAACAAAGAAACAACTGCAAAATGCCATAAACCATATCTACTGGTATGAGATGCAGCGAGTCTGCGACGGACGCAGTGCGTCGCAGGTGCCTAGTAGCAAACATAACATGTCGTTTTTCTGTGGAAGATATGCGACAGAGCGGAATCTCCATCGCAGATATTCAAGTATTGCCCGATCTCTTTTACCGTCGCAGAGTCATTGCAGACTAGCGACATATATAAATTTCCGTCGCAGATTACGAGCTAGCGACGCCATATCTGCGACAGCGTGTGGACGTCGCAAGCCTGTCGCAGATTTCGAATCTGCTACGGCTTTTCCGAAACTTAGACGGAAATTTTCCATAGCAGATCCGACAGATTCTTGTAGTGAGTCGTGATATGTGTAAATAATGTGTCCCTTTCACGACTATATTGTGTTAATGCATTGTTTGTGATCATCTTATCGTTGTGAAATTTCATGAGAACTTGAATCCTATTAAACATAAGCGTAATATTATAATATCCTTAAGATTGACTAAATCGTGAGTTTATTATTGGGGTTTGTTACACTAGACCCTAATACATTCCATAAAAAATTCCCCTCAAGTTGAGACGGGGGAGCAGCACGAATGCACAACTTAGTTAATAACAAGATAGAACCAAGACAAAAAAATATTTTTTATAAAGAATTTGGACAAAACATGATTTGCTACGACAGCAATGAACGAAAGTGATGGACTTCCATGTTCGACGACTAACAAAAGTCTCAAACCATGACTTACACAATCTTGCCGGATTAAGGTGTGACTAGCCTCGCATAGTGACATGCAAACATATGGCTAGTTGTGAGTTATGACTTATTGTAGATAAACAATTTAATCAAATGTTATCAAATCCATGGACTAACCACTAAAATTATGGCTACATGAACACCAAAACCATTTATTAACCACCAAAATTTAATGGACTTAATGCTGAGCTGAAACAAAATCTAATTGCGAGAGGAGAACAACTGCCAACCAAGGGGATGCCAAAACAGAAAAAGACGACAATGATAGACATTTGAGTCGAGGTGAAATCACTTTGTACCCAAATATACCTGATGGCAAAGTCTTCATCGATTACACCAATCCCTAATATATCCGCTAACACATATCTTCACAAACTTGAACACTTTTGCTTGCATGCGTTACCATTTACTCGAGATCATGTCATTGATCTGGCATTGATCTTGGTCCACCATTGCAAAAAAAATTGATTGCTAACTCAATTCAATGAATCGGTAGACATTTGATTTCTGACCTACAAGTTGTATAAATATTATGAACATGTATAATAACAAGTTAAATACAATGTAAATGAAATGTAAAAATGTATAAAATAAATTAAAACTATAAAACTATAATAAAGTGCAAAAAGTTAAAAAAAGAAATTGATTAAAACTATAAAACCTATCAATCGATGAATCCTCGGATGTCTCAATATAAGCCCAGGCAAGGGAAACATCTTCCTCGTCGCTCTACTTTTTTCATGCCCGGTTTGGTGGTGTTTTCTACCACCTCCTTGGTACTGTTGGGGATAAAGAAGATAACACGGATAAACTAAGAATTGTGTATAACACTTTTGGATTGAATATTTTGGGAGTTCAATCCAAAATTTAATCGGATAAACTCAAAGTAATCAAGAACAAGTATGAATCTGTAGTGAATTTCTGAACTATATTTGAGACCATGGAGCAGCAAATGTTTTTTAGACACGGAGGGAAGGAGATGCAGGAGTTTTGAGATGCGGTCGCATCTTTTCCAAAAAATGTGTGACCCTACGTGCAATTTTTTAAAGATACGACCATATCTTTTTCTCGAATTTTTCCTTTAAGAAAGCTTTGAAAAGTAAAAATCTCGACCCCAGCCAGGGGCTCTGCCCCTTGGACCCCACAGGGGCTGCCGCCCCTTGAACCCTGCTAGGGGGCAGCGCCCCCGAACCCCCACTAAGGGGGCGCTGCCCCCCTTGAAACCCATGTTAAAACGAGATTTTTTATCCTAACATACTCAACGAAGCGTGTACTTTGCACCACCAAATTTCTTAGATGATTATTAGGATATCATTGGTCACATAGTTTTTCCAATTACACTAAAATATATAACATGTACCAAAATGTAAAAGTAAGAATTTTGGATGTCCCTTTTGATTTTTTTTTTGTCAAAATTGGTAAACTTTAAATCTCAAACTAAAATTACTTTTCAGTAATTTTTTTTGGACGAGTGAGAGAATGTGTAAAAAGATCGGTGAAGTTGGCATGAACTTTTTTTTAAAAAGCCCAACAACTAAAATGCCGCTTTCTCTTTTCATCCCCGGAACCAGCCCCGGTTGCACCCCATAGTGCATGCCACCAACACCAATGTGCACTGACATCAGTAACGGTCGCTTGTTTTTCCAACTATCGTCCTCCCCACCCCCCATCCACCTCCGGGGTGGCCATAATTTTTCAGTAATTTGACCAAACACAATCAACCATGGCTCGAGTTTCAAACTCATACCACCGCAAAACTCAAATTTGCTTCCGAACCCATATTTTAGTGCAAACAAAACGAGTCAGTGGCTCACACAAGGAGTTTTTAGTATCGTAATGGACAAAACCGTGTGAACTTAAATAATACCGAGTAAAGTATATGTCCTTTCGCCATCCAGTTAACTCCAAAGATTGCATATATATATATATATATATATATATATATATATATATATATATATACAAATATACATATATATATATACACACATACACTGAGGAATATTACTACACAAGCTAAATTAATTGCAATCATTTTATGTTAGTGTGGCATGGTTGCAACAAAGATGTCTGATATGGTCAGTCATGTTACTTTGTGTGTTTTAATACACTTGCCCTGCAATAAGGGCAGTCTCCACAAGTCCGGACCCAGGGAATCAAGCAACCGTTGTGGAATCTATGGCCACAGGGCAAATGAAACAGGGCGTCTCCATCCGAGAAAGCCTCCAAACAGATGCTACACTCTTGTGGTGCATTGCCGCCTAAGTTGCTGAAAACTTCAACTCGCAGAGAATTTAGCGATTCTTGGGTGAGCCCCGGAGGTCGTTTGGTCATGTCTATCTGGATAAAGTCAGTGGCTATGCCTGATCTTGCTACAGAGTCCCTAGCACCAACAAGCATGGAGTCATTTTCAGTTGTCACGTTTCTCATAAGGCTGCTTGTAGAGGCCCTTCTATTGCACCTAACATGAAAAAAGAAAAAAATGGCAGTGATAACTTTTGCTTGCAATTGATCACCTGGTTCACAAATACGGAGTAATTAGAGAGCTATAACTGAAAATAACTTGATCATCATATATTTCCATGCATTTACGCACAAATAAGGATAACATGAGGAGAAAACGGCGAACCCATGTAGAAAGAAATATTTAGTAGCATCATATAAAAAAATCAAACAAGATTGCAAATTAAAAACAGAAAAAGCCAAGGAAGCCTACCTGTTTTCAGATAGAGAAAAGCCTCTCAATCTTTGGAGAAGTCTTTCCCTTGCAAGTAGGACTGGTCCAGGAAGTCCACCATTCCCAGTAGTTCTAAAGTTATCATGTATAGTGATTTCATTTTTGGAACTGTTATAGTTTCCAGATGGACTGGTGAAAGCATCAATGCCGACTGGTTCAAGCTCCTATCCAATATGACAATCAAATGATACACGGGAAGTCAGAATAATAAGGAGTATACAGTAGGTCAGTAGCATGCATTTTGGAATCTTGCTATTCATCGCCAATGATCTCACCTGATTTAAACCTTTGTTTAGAAGGAATGGAGGGTCCTAGGGAAGAAATTAAAAGTAGGGAAATGGAAGTGGAGAAGAAAATAATGTTTCATGTTGTTGTTTGAGAAAGTGAGGAAGTAGTGGAAGAAGGGGGGAAATACTAAGTGGAACCCTTTTATCATATAACTGAAGAGACTTTGTACAGAAAGGGGAAAAGAGTATGAGACCTCTTTCAAATCATAAAGTGGGCACTCTTAATTTATTTCTTTTATCTACAGACAAGGACATGCATGCCTTTAAAAGAAAGAATAAACAATTGTTCTCTCTTATATATTTGTCTCTTACTTTTCATCCAAGTACCTAAGACAATCAATCTCCTAGTACTTCCTCTCCTATTACTATATCAAAACAAAGCATAAGACACAAATAAACAAAATGAACAGTGCAGAAAACAAAAGCTGTCAGAAGAAAAGGAAAATACAAAATGGATTTTGTAACTAGGGCAAAACCCAAAAAAACATGCACATAAGTTGACTAAATATGATAGTAGTAATTAGTAAATATTGAATATTAACTGAAAGTCTTAAACCAACCTAGTTTTTTGAAAGTACAAAGCCAGGTGCGTATTATTGACTCAAGGAATCATAGTAACACCTAACAGAGTAACAGGGCGTAGAAGTACAATAATCCATAATTGAAGGGTACCTTAATTTTGAAGGTAAAACCTTTCTTCATTTGGGAGGTTTCATGCTTTTCTAACTCAACCTTACATCCCAAATAGAAACCCCCCAACGTTCAGTGGCATGGCGGCCACAGAAAAAAGAGGTTCTCTAGTTGAGTAGGACTTTATAACTAGAAACATCTTTAAATATAACAAGAATCAAATAAGATCAGACCAAATCAGACTAGATCAAATAAGACCGGACGGACCTTAATATAATCATATCAAATCGAATTAGATCTCATATGTACCCATTCACAAGTCGCTGGCTCCTCGCCTACAAATTCTGGACAATTCTGCCAGATTATGGTTCACACGTTTCAGTTTTCACTCTTGAATTGCTTGAAGCCTAAACTCCATCGATCTATTTCTCTTCTACTCTAAAATTTCCATACTACACATCTATTTTATCAGCAAGGTTCTGTTGACACGTGTAAACGGATGATACTCCCGCTTATTTCGACACTTTGTGTTGCTGTTTTATTTCTATTCTATTATTACTCGGACAGTTCATCTGATCCACAAATCTGGACAGAAAATCCCTTCTTGCGCCACAAATCCTTGTGTCTTTTACACCAACACAGCAAAAGTTTTGAAACTCAAAATATTGCGCGAAGTATAATTATTTCAATGGCTAGTAAATTGTAAGGAAGCAAAACATACAAAGATATTCACCTGAAAATTATTCAGTAGAGGATTGGAAATTTAACACTCAGAAGGAAAAAAACAAATCTAAAATCCAATAACTGTTAGAGTCCTTTAGGTCTTGAGCTTAACTAACTAACTAACCAACTGCCTGTGACCCGTTTAACACGATTGCTCGTCTGGAAATCCATACCCAGCGACTCGCGGTCCTTGAGGGGGAGTGTTAGTGTCTATCCCACATCGAAAAGTTGAATAGAAAAATTATAGGTATATAAGCTCTTGAGTTTAACTAACTAATTGATAATGGTTCAACCCAAGTATCTTATTACCCAATCGAGTTGTCCATACCCATTCCAAATTCTATCAATAACCTTACCTGAACAGAGGAGCAGCGGATTGGAATTCTAGACCGGGGAAGAGGCTCGGAGTAGATCGAATCGAATCTCCCGACCCGGCGAGTTCCACTGCTGCTGCGGCGGTGACGGTGGTGGCGATGAACAGTGACATGGTTGTGGATAGATATTCGGTCAGAATCCGAATCAAATTCGGAGCTGATCCGACCCAGACGAGTCCTCCTGCTGTAGAATAGCTCCGAAGCGCTCGTCATGCAAATGTAAAGAGGAACAAACAAATTTTCTCTGCGTGTCTGCAAGAATTACTCAATAACCACAAATTCACGCGCACACTTGCATTTCCAGAGGAAAGAACTACGGAGTGAAAAAGATGATAAAAGGAAAAGACAAAGAGAGAGTCTATCCCTGATTCGAGTCAACTTCTTCTTCCTCTTAATTGTCCGTGTAAACCTAGTAGTACGTAAGCTACTTTTGTTCCGATATCCATTGGTCCAAAATAAAACTTTTTTTTTTGTTGCAAAGAAATAAAACGGTTATATCCAAAAACTATTTGCTCTTTCACTCTAGTCAAATTTTAATAAAATCGTTGGTCTATTTTTATTGCTTATTTATGAATTAATATAGTCAAGTTATTTCTAGATTTGTAGATTTTTAATTTTAATTTTTAAATATGTACTAATTACGGAGTATTTTTTTAGTTTGAAACCATTTTTATGTAAAATAATTTGAACCTGTCAAATATTATATTCTCTCCGTTCATTAATTTCTTTCTCAATTTCTTTTTATGGTCATCTAGAATTTTAATGAATGCGTCATTATATCCATACTTTTTATCTACACAATTCATTTTATTCCATCACATCACGGGAAACAAATGAAAAAGTGTTCATACTTTTTAATTTTTCTTAATCTTCGTGGTAAGTCAAATCAAAAAAAATTATTGGACGGAGGGAGTAATGCACAATGAAAAGAAACTTTTTCTATTCCCTCACACTGTTACTTTCTCCATCTTAAAACGTTCTTCCTGTTTCTGTTTACGAGATTTGACTAACTTTATTTTCAATTCAATTTATTTAATTGTAGGTGTAAAATTTAAAAATAAAACTTATATATTTAGAAACTACATAAAAAGTTCTATAAAACAAGATGTGACAAAACTATGTTATTTTATCAAATACTCCCTCCGTCCTAAAACTTTCTTCCCAGAGCACTATTCCAACTTCACGGGAATTTATATTTATTTGTGTTTTTTCATGGCCTATATGATAAAATAAAATATTCTTGTCACCATTTGTTTTGTTGAACTTTTGATGTAGTTTTTAAATATGTATATTTTATTTTTTATTTCTATACTAATATTTAAATAAAATAGATTGAAAAAACTTAAGATTTTTCTTCGTTTTGCGCAATGGGAAGAAAGTTTTAAGACGAGGGAGTAACTAACAAAAATAAGTAAAAAAAGTAATTAAAATTTAACTATATAAATAATAACTGAGAAAAAACATTTTAGGACGAAGGAACTTATTTGTTTTTTTTCCTTCACAAACAAACTTTGTTTTTTCCTAAGAAAAACTTTGAATTTCGGTCGTGCTAATTCCGAGGGGTATTTTGGGGAAGGAAGAGAGTACGAAGTAGATCTCTTCTCTATTCTTGCTGCCTGTGGCTGTGGGTTCCTATGTCGACTCCTGATCATCCGTTGCAGCTTGTCTTCCACGCACTCGACAAGCTATCAAATAGAATCCAATCACAGCTCCACCAACTCCTTCGTTTTCCGGACACTACCCGCTCGCCCTTTTCTCTTTCTGCTGCTACAAAATCAAACCAATCGGTTCCAGGACGTGCCGCCTCTGGTCTTCTCCGACCCACTGGAGTTCCCAAGAAGGTAAGTTTACCGCGCCAATGAGCACTTTGTTTCTTCGTTTTCATCCTTCTTGCGCGTCATTTCAGTTCTCTGGACAGATGTTGGGAAATGGCTAAGCTTGCAATTCGTGCATACTAGCTGTTCGATAAAATAACCCTGTGAAGATTAATACAAAACGGCTTTGTGTTGTTCTTTTGGATTCACAGCGCTCATCTGGAGAAATGGGTAGATTTGAATTTGGTGTTGATGTTAAGAACTGATGGAGTTTCTATGTGTTCTTGATGTCAATTCTTCCGTTCAGGAAACCTTTGCTGGCCCAGTGATTAAAGAAGAACTTGGACGGGCTACATGGACCTTTCTCCACTCTCTTGCAGCTCAGGTAATTTAATGGTTATTCCTGATTTTGTCCTTTTCCTTTTCCAGCCAAAATCTTCAACTTTTACTTACTTTTGTTGATATGCTTGTTCCTTTTGACTAAAAAAATAGAGGCTAGTTGTAGTTTTTTTTCCTTGTTGCACTTGTTTGTGATGCTTTTTACTTTTTATCATTTGATTCTATGTATGAATTGTGGATTTCAGTACCCCGAGAAGCCAACCAGACAACAAAAGAAGGATGTTAAAGAATTGGTACACTATTATTGCTCCTCAAAATTTTTTATTTATTTATTTTCACTTCAGTCCATAGTATGAAGCTAAAGATTGAATTTTTGTTCTTCGGACATGAGAAGAAACATTGGATCTATGAGGTTATGATTATGTGAAGGTTGATGCCAATTACTACAATTCTAGATTTCTTTATCCATGATTTTACTGGATTAATATTTTTAATACATTAGAGTATTATCCGGATGAAGGTAACAAAAAAGAAAAAGAAGAGTATGACTGTAGTTAGTGTTTTAAGCTTTCTGTTCCACTTTCATATGAATTGCAGATGGCGATCTTATCTCGCATGTACCCTTGCAAGGAGTGTGCTGATCATTTTAAAGAAGTTTTGCTGTATATTCCCATTTACCCCTGTCCACAATTGTTCAATTTCGACATCCAAAGTCGGAGAGTTAGTTTGAAGTATGAATTATTCTATATTTCGCCCGTGTGTTTGCAGATCAAATCCCGTGCAAGCAGGATCCCAAGATGAGTTTTCACAATGGATGTGCCATGTGCACAATGTTGTTAATAGAAGGTAATTCAAGCTATAGATCATTTTCTGCACTTTTCAAGCAACCATCTTCCATTGTGCCATATCCATTCATTATCTAAAAAGATTAACTTGCCTTTCCCGATTCACAAAAATGATACCCGAGTAGTTGGGAAAAAGACTAAACTAGGACTTAAACATGGATAAAATACCAAAATTGGAGCTCCTGTGCTTATCTTAAAATAAGAGTTGCAATGCCAATAATGTCAACATATAATACCAAAAAAACACCATGGAATACCAATATACAGTGCCAAATTGTCACATGACAGTAGTCCTATTTTGGGGTTAAAAAATGGTACATTCTCTATGTTTTACTCCTAGCATGGTAGATTTCTTATAGTAAAATGTCTGTTATTTCCACGCCCTAGCACGTGTTATCTTGTGCATTAATATGATTGTCAAAGCTAAGCCAATCCCATGAATTTTGTGTCAAACAGTTTGGCCAAACCTATTTTCCCTTGTGAACGGGTTGATGCACGATGGGGCAAGCTTGATTGCGAGCAGCATGCCTGTGACTTGCAAGGAAGCGACAAGTTCCTGTAACGAAACATATTCTAGTTTCATCTAGGAATTATCTTTTTGATCTTATACACTTCGACTCTATGTGAGTATGTGTATGTGTGTAAACATGGAAACAATTTTATCTATGGCCTTTCAGTTACTCATTCATACCCATAAATAGGGTTATCAGTGTAAGGGGCTGTTTGGCAACTTCTGAATGGGTAAGTGCTGAACCAGTAAGAGGTCTGAATCATTAAGTGCTGAACCAGTAAGAGGTCTGAACCATTAAGAGCTAGTATATTGCTTAACTATTCAGAGGCAAATGTCTGATCAATTCAGATAACAGCTCTTAACCATTCAGACTCTGTATAATACTTAACCATTCAGAGGCAAATCTCTTAACCATTCAGACATCTGAACCATTAAGAGGCTGAAACAAATAGCCCCTAAGTGTTTTCCCCAGGATTACTGTTTTTCAAGATTTATAGTATGTAGACACAGTTAGTTGCCAGGTAAAATGTTAGTGGACGTGCTTCAAAATAGTATTCTTTGAAGAGTGCTTTTTTAAATAAAGATTTTCAATAGCGATAAATGATAATTAAGGGTGGACATAAATCAGATTATCGTTCAAGTCTAAAGGCCCAACTGTTCTTTTCGAAGGTTTGGACACAAAATAAAATCCAAATTTCGGGTTTGGAACAAAAAGAAAAGGTTATTTAATAAAATAGGCATAAAAAGGTTTGGCGTCGTTTGGCTTTTGCCTACAGTGAACAAAAGCTCAACGTCATCTTGGAGGTTAGTGTAGGGGGTGCAGGTAAGAACTAGGAACCGATTTGGGGCCCAAACAGAGAACTGTGGAACCCCAAACGGAGCACCATGAAGCTTGGTGTTGAAAATATTGTTGTGATGTTATTATACCTCATATAATGTTCTTGTCACCTTTATTTGTGTTTAAACTATTATGCTCATTTCGTATTTAGATGATCACCTTTTCATTTGAGATGTCAGCATGTAGTTGTCCATTTTAAAAAGAATCACTATAAAGCATAATAACATTGTTATGATCAATTAAAGAAAAATTAATTTCATATATTTTGCTGTTATCCTACCCGCATTCTTAAAATTTAAAAAGTGGAGATTTAAATCTCTAAATCTAGATTGAGAAAAGATTTACCGAGATAGAAACATTGCCTTCTTATCCATCCAAACACACCCTACTAGAATACCACGGGCTCCGCGACCGTTCAGCCCGACGGGCTGATATGAACAGTATAACAAACGGTCAGCCCATAACCGATTGGGCCACAAACAATTTCTTGGACTTTGACCAAACAGAAGAAGATCAAACCTTAACATATCATCATTTCATTTTTCAGTACTGAATAGAGCAGAGAAGAGCTAAAATTAGATTACTCTATACATCAAAGTTTAGCTGCTAAACAGTGAAAGGCTTCAGAGCTATTTGATATGCTTTCTTCATCTTTAACCAAAGTTTCTTACCTTAGAGACATTACATGCTAATATTACCAACCTAAAACCAGAGAAAAACAAAACCCCTTCAACAAAAGTTAGTTAGCACTTAACAGGTCGTTCCTTGGTTCTCCTATGAAACCGAATGCCTATCCCTTCTTGAATGTGACGATTTTGCTTCATCGACGAGACTGTCAGAAGAATCAGACCCACTGTTCTCCACATGTCCAACTCCACTTTTACTTGACCCCAACATTTTGGAGACTATCCGTTTAGACATCAACAAGGCTTTCATTTTACCAATGCTGCTGCTCTTCTTATTGTCAGCATCCCATTCTTCTTCTTCTTCTTCAGTGTTAGTTGTCTCAATGGATCTTGAGCTCCCAATGCAGGAGGCCCCATCAATGGTTTTGGGAGTGGTGCATCCGGATGATGACACATTTGCCCTTACCTGTTCAAAAAACAGAACCTGCACGATCACGCGCATTGGGAGTCTCTCATTCTGAACAGCATGCTTGCACGCTTCTGCTGACAGCTTTTTGCAGTCCATCAGTTTGCATATTCTCTTTCGCTCGCTCTTGCTCATCCCCGGGTGCATCTAAGCCAGTATGCCATAGATACACACCATTAAAGAGTTATTTATATTATCAAGCACAAAACTCTCATATCATCCATAAATTGAAACAAACAGCACATACTTGGTGTGTTCTACAAGGCTAAATTATACTCCCTCCATCCCATAAAACTTTTCGACTTTGAAAAAAGTGGGATTTAAGGAATGTGTAATTTTGGTGTTATTTTCCAATTTTGGTCTTACTTTATTATAGGATAGGAAATGATGTGACAGGTAGGTTGATAATTAGTAGGGATAAAAATAAAAAGGGAGATTTTAATTGAAAATGGAAGTATTTTTTAGGACAGATGAAAAGTGAAAGTGGAAAGGTTTTTTGAGACCGAGGGAGTATATGTTTCTTATTTGGGATTTGAGATTTTGGAAAGGGAGGTGCAAAAAGCTCACCATGAGAAACATGTCGATTGCACGGTAAAGTCCATCATGAGAAGCTCGGGGAAAATGCAAGACCATCTCAGCCAACCCAACAAAAGTAGTCATTTGAAGATTGGGATCTTCTTCTGCAATGCCAGCAAGGTACCCATCTATTAACTTTGCCACCTTCCCTTGTGAAACATGAGACAAAACCCCTGCCGACTTTTTTTCAACTTCGTATATCTCATTCCTAGTTTCCTCCAAAGTGTCCCGACCATGCAATGTAAACTCCAGTATTTCCTTCACAACATGTGGGGCTTGAAGCAAAAGAAGATCATTCACGGATGCGTCCTCAAGTTGGTGGCCTATTCTTTTGATCAGTTCGCCCTTTGTAGCCTCTCCCGAATCATCAAGTGAAATGGACAGTTTCAGTAACTTCAGCAAGAACCGACAAGGGACACTGCCTTTCTGAGCAGGTAGAAGCCACACAATTGAATCCAATATTGACCAAGCATCATCACCATACTTGTGCAACCTTCTAGAAGCATAAGCTTTCAGAGCTTCTCCTATGACTTTATCAGAAATGATCCTTTTGTTTTTTATACTCTTGATAACTCGCTCATATATGCCCACTTCAAGTTCACATAAGTCATCAACCCACCAATCCTGTGGCACCATCCGGGGGCTTCTTAAAGGATCAATACTGCCATTATTTTCATCTGGTGTCTTTTCCCGGTTATACGTATAGGACCAATCCACCTTGGACGGATCGGTAGATGCCTTGGAAGCTATAGCTTCAATGCAGTGGCCAACCAACTTCAGCTCCTCAGACATGGGCAAGTGATGTTTTGTGGTTTGGAGAGCTATTATGGAATCCTTCCAGCTTTTAAGTATGCATGAGTTCAAGAAAACATCAATCTTGTGGATCAGGTTTCCTTTCTCAACATTTTCTCTCATTTCCAGATACTCAGCAGCACACCGTGCTGAAATCACATTGTAAGCATTCATTGTGATGGTCACCCCATAACAGAACTTGGCACATAGTTCGAAGGTAGTGGGCCCTCCTGGGATGTCATGGATGTGAACTTCATCACTGTTTCCTTCGTTTGAGCTTGTCACCAGTTTTTGCAAAGAAGCACTCTTGGAAACAAGAGGGAACTGCACCATATATCAGTAGTTAGTTTTAGCAGGTTGATAAGTAACAAGTTGATTCTCTATTATGCCTTGTTTGGGTTCAGTATAAATACTCTTCATAAAACCCAAGAATCTCTTGGATTTTCCAAATCCAAACATGAGGCAACACACCAAATAAGGGAATACCCAAGAATCGCACACCAATCCAAACGATGCTTATAGTTTGAGATATTGATAGTATGGTTTGGAGAATGGATATGCACTTATAGAGATCAGAGAGAATGGTAAGCTCATTGTGGATAGAATAGAATCACCAAAGACGTTCCAGAACAAATGGGTAATTTGAAACGATTTTTTTTGTCACCATACCTTGTGCAAATAGAACTTCACATCTCCTATAAGAATAACGAAGTCGGAGGCCAACTCAGATGCAACATATCTGCATGACAGTTTCTCAGTTCTGGAAACTTACTGAAGGAAAAATGACCTTAGCGAAAATATGACAATTAATAAGCAGCTCAAGAATGGCATCTAACCTGATGTTGTTGGTCCCTTCTGAATGAAAACAATCAGGTTTGGATCCAAGTTTCATGAACTTCATCTCAGCAAACTACAAGATTCTTGACTTCTTTAAACGTTGAATCTTAAACTCAATAGTTCAGTCTCGTTACTCAACCGATCACTGTAAAAAAACAAAATAAACCCTATGATCATTAGCTTACAAACGGAAGCCTAGGTCGGTTTTACCTTAAAAAATGGTTCACTTAAATGGGAAGAGAGAGAGAGGGAAGAAAAATTGTTTCCTTGACCATGGGTAAATGAGTCAGTCCATGAGACATAAAACACAGATTCTCAACACTAAAATTATTCTCCAAACCAGAAATACATTTTTATTACCCCCTCTCTCCCACATTACCCTATCCCGTCTAATCTCATCTCTTTTCAGAATAAACAATTCCAAAATCTTAAAGATTCATTTAATAAAATATTTTTTAAAAAAAAAACTGCAATTGGTTTTTACAGAGTTCCAAAGTTCCACCTCATATAGAAAGCACATGTAAATTCTGCTTGCTTTCTGCATTTATATGTAAATAATAAATATATTTATAAGCATTGAAAGTACCTGCAGTGGAAAACAGCATCTTGTTGTTGTTGTTGTCAGTTGAAGAAACCACCACACCAACAGTAGACAGCAAGAATCTCCCCCCACAGGTTTTGCAAAACTAAAATCTTGAGAGAGAGAGAGAGAAGGAGAGAGAATCAGAAATTTGATGGCGATATGCATAATATATTACAGTAATACCTCCGTCCTATAATGATCTTCCCGGTTCGCAAAACGAAGAAAAATCCTATAGAAATAAAAAATAAAACATACATATTTAAAAACTACATCAAAAGTTCAAAAAAACAAGTGGTGACAAGAATATTTTATTTTATCATATAGGCCATGAAAAAACACAAATAAATATAAATTCTCGTGAAGTTAGAATAGTGCTCTGGGAAGATCATTATAGGACGGAGGGAGTAGTAAAAATGGAATCAGAGAAGATAAAACAACAAAATCCCAGGGAACCCAAAGAGTCATTTCATCACACGGAAATCCTGCAGCTATTAAAATATGGGTAATATCCCAGAAAAATTCATCAAAGTGACAAAATCTCGATCTTCTCTTTTCAATAGAAAGAACCCAAATCCCACTCTCCGTGTAAAACCTCAAAAAAAAACCCAAGAAATCATTTTTTTTCATATGCATATAGATGGGGGCATAATTGGAATGACAGCGGGCAGAAAACGTCACCTCAAATCTGCTTCAAGAAAAAGAAAAAAAAACAAACCAAGCAACAAAACTAAAGAAGAGTGCTTTAAGTATTGATTTAAGTTTTCTGCGAGCACACAGAGAAATAGAGATACATATACCAGAAAAAGCCAAGCTTTCAGCTTACCAGTTTTGCTAGAACCAGAAATAAAGGTATTTGATACCAGAATTTCCATTTATTGTAAAAAAACAAAAAGCAAAAGTGAAGGTACTAACTTACCCCCAGAATATATTTTCAGGTTTTGATGCTATGGTACTCCCACTTTATTAACACAATGCAGCTGTTGATATGCTTTAAACCCTTCAATTTTTTTTTTATATTTTTCAGGAGGGAAAGTGGAGGGAGACTATCATCTTTTCTGGGTGCGAGATTGAGACACCACAGTTTGTGTTTTTGAATGGTTCCGCGCACGCCCCCCACTCACCACTTTCCTTTTCGTCTTTCCTTCCTATAAAGTCATCATCCTTGTTAGTCAAATTGTAAACGCCAATTTGATGCTTTAGTACCGAATCGATACCGAAATTTCTCGAAAAATCCGAAAATATTGAATCAAAAAATACCAAACTGAAAAAGTACTGAGAAAGAACCGAATGGTCGGTACGGTATTCGGGAACGGTACGAGATGACATCCCATACCGAAAATCCCATACCGAACATATATACTAAAATATTATAAAAGTAATACCCCGGAGTAATATTTTTATATATTCCTTCACTAAATTATAAATTTTTTAAAAACAAATTGGTTCAAGTTTTATTATGTGTAAATTATACTTTTATTTGAGTTTTAATTATTGTGTATGAGCATAAAAGTATTCATAAAGATTCAAAATACTCCTTTGTTGTCATTCATTTTTTAGTTTGTGAAATATAAACTAAGTTTTTGATACGCATCTCTTGCATTTAAATATTCATTTTTTTAAAATTTTCATGTTTTTTATTTTAATTCACTTTTAATTTTTAAAAATAAACCACAATCTAACCTAGGGGTGAGCATGGTATGGTATGGTACGGTATTTAGCTCGTACCGATAGCGTACCAAATATTTCGGTTCGGTATGGGATTTTACTCCGTACCAATCCCGATCCCGAAATATTGGTTCGGTATGGTTCGGGATGGTTCGGTGTCGGTTTCAGTACAAATCGGGATGAAGATACATACATACTTTACACGTTAAAAATTTAACAATACCCTTTAATACTCTCTCTCCCATTTTAAATTGTCTGTTTTTCTTTTTTTTCTGTCTTAAAATAAGTTGTTTGTTTCTTATTATCGCAAATTTTTAAGAGTATGCCCCAAAATCAAAACGGGTGACTTAAAACAGAACGGAGGAAGTAAATTTTTAACGGTAAAACTATTTGTACACCAAAATTTATACCTCATTTTGTACCCCAAAAGCATGCACCAACATTTTGTGCTACTGTAACATTATTGTAATGATTTACACTGACAAAAAATGTCAGTGCAAATGTTTTTAATTGACTAGAATTTTATGCCAGTGTGAACCGTTAAAATATCGGTGCATTTCTTTGGGGAACAATTTGGGTTATACTTTTGTTGTACCCCTAGCATGGTTGAATTCTTAATCTTATTTCACACCGGGTTTTTGTATACCTGTTATGTTCCAAAAATGTCACACTTCACTATTTAAGAAATATGTTATGGACCCGGGAGTTGAGGACACCAGTACTCGTCGGAGTGAACGGGTGCGCCGGGCACCATGGTGGCAGCGAGACTTCGAGATGGATTAGCTTATTTTATTTAATTATTCATTTACATCTTTTATTCATTAACGTATTTAGTTTTTGTTAGGTGAGCGAATTATAAGCTCCTTCGAGAGTTTCTTTACGGTTTTTTACCTCGTCGCTTTTCTTGAACCGTCAGGATAGACAACGTAGATTAAACTAGGGTTTACTAGGGTTTGGGACGCCTCCTCATTATAAAAGGAGAGGGACCAATATTACTTTAATTAATCAATAAAGTAGGAAACCCTAAACTCTCTCGTCTCTTGCACGGCTTCCTGCCGCGGCTTTCTTCTCTCTTCCTGTATCCCCCATTCTCTTCCCGTATCCCCGAAATCATACCCAATGATACGAACTCGTATCGGATAGGGAAGACTTAGAGCGTCTTCGAGCTCTTGAGAATATGAGACGAGGAAGAAGAAGAAGAATTGAGGTGAAGGGGGAAATCGGCGAGGCGAGAGGGGAGAAGGAATTTGGGTTTTGAGTTGTTTATTGATTGAATATTCTAAATGAGGTTGCATCTCTATTTATAGAAGACAATGAAACCCTAGCTAAGCATAAACCTAACCTGACGGTTCAATAAAAGCGACGAAGGAAAGAACCGTAAAGAAACCTCGAAGGAGCTTATAATTTTGCTCCTCTAGTTTGGTATCCCTTTTATACATTTTTATCCAAATCATCGAATATTCATATTTTCATAAGTTCGTTCGAGTACGAGATCTATTCTAGAGGTCTTCTAGATAGTCTTAACATCAATTATCTAAATGTGTATATCTTAGAGCCTTCTAGATACCCTTAACAATACAAATCATTTCATAATTATTAATGTATTCATTTTACTCACGGTTCAATCATAAGTAATCATTTTATTCAGTAGGTTCATATTCATAATCATCCATAATAATGATTCATCACAACCACCAATCAACATAACATCTAATAGCAAATACCGGCCTAGTTTTGAGTGTTAACACCCTAGCTTACCGTCATGCATCACATAACATTTTATTTGTTAAAAACATCATTTTCTTGGTGCAAAATCATCTTTATATTATTCATAATTAATTGGTATCATAAATAGGATTTTAGAGCTCAAAAATAGCATTTTCGGAAGTATTTTGGAGCAAAATTTCGGGGGATCGATCCAGCACTCCAGATCGATCCATTTTTAGAGGAAATATACCCAGGGGATCAATCCACCCCCTGGATCAATCCAACCTCTGCGTTTTTCGATCATTGCTCATCATCTTCTTTGTTTGGGTCCAATTTCGAAAATATCAAACTATATAAAAATGTTCTCCAAGGTTGATAGATCATTTTGGATTCATTAATTCATAGTTTTAACAATAATGTCATGGTTTATAATTCTTGGTTCTTCAAACATGCCAAACATAAAACTCAACCAAACGATCATTTATGAACGTACAAATGATCTATATAAACATTCTAGTCACTAGATATATCTACGGGCTTACGTCGAAGCTTAAGGAAGGCTTTGGAAATTTTATGGCGAAACTTCCGGCGACGATAACTACCAATTCCGGCGACATCTCACCAAATTGAAAGCACCAATGATCTCTCCACTCCACCAAGAACACAATGATATTAATTTTGGGAAGATTGGTCAAGAAATGGGGAGAGGAGGAGAGTTCTTATATAGGCAGGGAGAAGAAGCTGCCATTCATGCTTAGTCAGTGACGATTCGCGATCGTGGATTCAACGGTGATTTGTAGGATTTTACACGCCATTCCCTAATTGGTCCCAGTCGGGGTACATCTTTTGGCCCAACTTTCTCTGAATTGAATTCCGTTTGCACCGTTGCGATCCGATAGTCGAACTCTATCCAACGATATAATTTTTATATTTATTTGTAATACTTTTTCTGACATCATATTCTTTTGGGGTTTGACTTTGACAGAGTCAAAATTGGTTTAAGTAACTTTTAGTCAGAAAGGTTCTTACATTTCATTCACATTATTTATTCTCATGATTTATTTCAAAAATCATTTCAAGGTTCACATCATAAACAAATTCTTCATTTATTCTTAATTTGGGTCTGTACTCAGGTTTCCAATTAAGATCACACATGAAGTCAACATATTGGATTTATCTCTATGAGATTAATCGAGATTGTGATATTGAATATCAAAACACATTTTATTTCGTCCCAAAGCACAAAAAACTAGAGTATGAGTAAAACATTGAAGATATACAAAAATAGGAGTTGCATGTTTTTATTTTTGAAATAGAAGTTAAAATGCATTTACTTTACCAATCATGAGTATGTACATGACGTAAAATGCACATGTACAGTGTTACACTAACACAATGCAAACTCTTATTCAAAGAATAAAAACATTAAACTTCTATTCTAATGCTTTTTTTATGTTTTACTTCTATTTAGGATGATTTCGTAATTACTTTTCTTAAATTTGTTGATAATTTTTATGGAGTATTCCCTCTGTCCCCATTTTAATTATAATTTTATTTTTCTCTTTTCTTGATAACTTTTATTTTTTTGTATGTTTTAATTGATTATTTGATAAAATTAAATATTCTTGTCACCTCTTGTTTTGTAAAACTTTTGATATAGTTTTTTAATATTTAATTTTTTTTAATTGATGGACCAATTTGTAAATAAAATAATTTCAAAAATTATGAAATTTTATCTTGTAATATCTATTTTGTAATCAAAATAAGGATGGAGAGAGTATAATTTTATGTGAGGGAGGAGTAAAAGTATATGGAAAAGTACTTCCTCTCTCCACAAAGATCAGTTAGGGGTGTGCATAATTTGGTAAACCGACCAAACCGAACTGAAACCGAAAAATTTAGTAAGTACCGAAACCAAACCAAATAATTCGTTTCGGTATTCGGTTCTCATATTTTGAAAAAATCGGTTTTCGGTTCGGTACAAAATTTGGAACCGGTATTTCGGTAAAACCGAATACCAAAATTATTTAATACTTATGTATAATTTTACCCATTGCTACTCAATTCAATACCCAATATCTATCCCAATATTGAAATAATGAATATCCACCCCACTAATTTTAAGTCCTATTATCTAAATTTGGAGTTATTTAAGATTGGAAATCATGAAAGCATCAAATTAATAATACTGGTAAATGTTTTTATATTTCGGAAAGGACAATTGCGTTATTTGTATCAACTATTTTGTTTAATTTATGTAATAGTTCTAATTGTGCTGCGTTATTTTAATTTTGGAGTGTGTAATGAACTTATATATAATGGATTATGCTTTGTTATTTTCAATTTGGAGAATGAAATGGATTTTTTAAAGTTCAAATTTTGGTTTATGTTCGGTTTTGGTAAAACCGATTACCAAACCGATTTAATTTGGTTTTTACCGAACCGAATCATTTGATTTCGATTCGGTATTTGGTACAAAAAATAAATTATCGAAATTTCGGTTTACCGAATTTTCGGTTCAGTTCCGTTTTACCGAATGAACACCCCTAAGATCAGTGAGGATACCATCTTCAACCTTT